CCCCAAAACCCCAAAACCCCAAAACCCCAAAACCCCGTATCAATGAGATTTGGGATTATTAATGAAAATATAATTTTAATAGTAATAAGGAAAATAAAATAGTAAAGGAAATGTTTTAAATAATATGAAAATAAGTAGATTAATTTTTAACACTGGTATATAGAAACTTTGAACCGTATATAGACTCCGGATTATTCAACATTATAAACGTGATAAATATTGAAACAAGTAGCTATTTTACGTTAACTACTATTTCTCTCATTATTACTAGTATCTTCGATAGTCTTGAGGATTTTGGAGTTGTTATTGCTATTATTGTTGTTATTGTTACTGCATGAACTATTGCTACTAATTTAATTACACTTGAGAGGTTTGTTGTTACATTGTTTGTGAGAACTGTATATGTTACTATTAGTGAGAGTGATGTGGGGATGCCATTTGCTGTCTTTTAGGGAAGCCCTGATCATTTAGACCTAAGGGATCATATTATGTTTGAGGAGGAACGATCTATTATTGAGTTTGCATCTAAATTGGAGCCTAATATCCCATCATTTGGGGATGATATTACTGCTACATCATGTATCCTTAAGGATTTACAAGGTAACCACCCATCATCTAATTTTGAGGTTGTTTATTCATCATGTATTGCTACTATTAGTACACAGGAGCATTATAATATGAGGGCATCATATAATGAGGTTAGGCTTGATTTGGAGGAGGCATCATTGCTGGATTAAAGTACTGAGGGGCCTATCTTGTAGTAGGAGGCATGGTACTCATTTGCTGTCCTTAAATTTGTGGACCAGGAATCCTTTTTCCTCCTTTGTTGTTTGGAAATTCATTAGCATTATTAGGTGGTCTTCTATTATTTCCTCTTTGACTTGACTCAGATCCCTCGCTATCTCCTGAAATAAATTGTCCTTTAAGATCTCCTAGATTCTTTTTCTTTAAAAGTGCTATCCACTTCTACTTAATTCTTCCATCAGTAATATTAGGAATGTTCTTCTCAATCTATTCAGAAAGCTTAGTCCTGTCCTCTAGAGTTGCATACTTCAAAGCATTCTGAACAACGAAATTACCATATGAGTTCATTATCAAATCTAATAAAAGGGTCAGATGAAAATAAAATTTACTATTTAGTCTTTCGCAATTTATAAGCTCTTGCATTATTTTTTAAAGGTATTCTGGTTTTGAATTTTGAATACACTTGTCAATTACATTTGAGGAACATTTTTGCATACTTAATTAGTATACCTTTCCTATGAATTAGGGTATCATTTCCTGGCAGAGTTCCTTATCCCAATTTTCAAATGCCTACTAAATAGCATAGTTTCCATAGGGATTTTAGGCTAGCTCAATGGAGTTTGAAACTAATTTTTTCATTAACTTTTATCTATTTTCCTGCTTGAAAGTCTTGGAAATAATAATTTTAACTACACATAAACCAGAATTGTTGGTAGCCAATTCTACGAATTTATCGTAGATTTCGTCGAAAACAAATTATCTCTTTTACTCTTCAAAGCATTTGATAATGTTTTGAATCACATGGGTGCCTTGTACATCCTATAGTATACTTATTAGAACAAAATAGGGACTTACAAAAGATAGAAATGCCACATGTCCTGCAAGCACCCTCTGAAAGAATTTCTCTTCAGCTTCTAAATTTACTAGGTCTATAAACTTCTAGATTGTGTGGGTGCCTTTCTTATTACAGCAAATCGCAACAAAGTCGACAGCGATTCTCTCTAGAATTTGCATTCTTTGGCTGCTGGAGCAGTTAATCAATAGTTACTAACAGAAATAATTCCCATAATTATCAATCATGACCATTGGTAAATGACTCTGAATTTCATCAAGCAAAAATTGAACAATTTGAGGATTAGCATTATCTAATAGTCTTTAGAGAAATTTGCTTCCAGTTTAATTGATTGAAAGCTTGATAACGTTTCCCTTAAGTGAGTTGAGCTTCTGAGATTAGTTTGTAGCTTCTTCATAATTACACATTATCTTAACTAAGATTGACTCATTCTAGTCAATGAGCACATTATTTGAAATCATAGGAGGGTAAACTATACCTTGATTGGTATTTGAAGATGATCCGAGTTGAGCTCCCAGAATTGGATTAACCAATTATGGTGCATATTAAATTGGCGGATTAGGAGAATGATTTAGTTGAGGGGAATTAGATTACTTGATCTATTCTTGGGCTTGAATATTGTTTCTAGGATTAGGTATGACATTTTCAAGACCTGGGGGAGGGTTTGTTGTTGGGATTGTAGTAACTGAAGTCTGTGAAAACTGTCTTTGATTCGCATCACTTAAAAACTTTTACTGTTATTCTTGATTAAAGGTGACTTACTGTACTTGTTACTGCTGTTATAGCTGTAAATTCTGCTGAGATTTATGAGCTTATTAATTGTTAAGCTCTATGCCCTCAAAGCCTGATATCAGTTATTTTTGTTGTTCTTCAAACTGAGAGTTTGCACTTTAAAAGACTGGGGTTTTATATCCAGTAAGGTTGCTTAATTATGAACTGGAACTATCTTGATGTGCTAGGTTGATCTGTGGCATCTCAGTGCTTAGCTATTGACCCAGTAATTATTATTCAGATTAAGCATACTGATATTAGGGTGAAGATCTCTAGATGTGCATTTAATTGCTTGACCCTGTTGCTAAAAAGAATTAAGGATCCTTTTTTTATTATAAGTTTTAATTAGAACTAATGGCTGTCTGTTGATTTTGAAAATTCTGATAAGTTCCTTGTCCAGGAATAAAATTATTTGAAAGTTGCTAAGGTGATTTGTAATATCCTTAATTGAAGTCCTAATTGAGAGCAGGAGAGGATTAATTAATTGCTGTGATTTAATTCCTATTTAGTTGGAACTGGGGATCCAAAAATTGCTATTTAATAGGGGACTACGAGTTTAAGGATCTTTAGCTTCCAAAGAATTGAGTTTATTATTGGTGTTAGAATTGCTGTTACTCAGGTTAAGCATAGTATTACTGACCATATGTGTGCTGATCATATACAGGCTAAAATTCACTTTGCTTCCCAAATTAAGTTGGGCCGTAATTGTAAGTTCCAGTATCGTTATTTGTCTGATTGTTATATTGATCTATCTATCTTGAGATCATAGACTCGTTACTTTAGTTTGAATTTTGAAGTTTTCCAAAAACAGTGGTAGCATCAGTTGATTATTAACTATCTTCAAATTATTGTTAATATGGATTACTACTGGCGTCATGAGACTTGAACTCTACATAAGCTTAAGTTTAAAGGATGATACTTACTTAGCAAGGCTTGTCTCTGATCAATTTGCTTGGTATTAATGACTTATTACTATTATTGATTCAGAGAATTCTTGTTGTTCATGTCTAAAATAGGTTAGAGGCTTTTTTAATAAGATTTGTATCTTACTTAAACGAATAAGAGGAGAGTTGTATGTATTCTCTTGAGTTTGTCCTTCAGTAGTTTGCTGAATAGGATCGTTTTATTGGTAGGAAGCAAAATCATTTAGTAGATTTGTTTGTAAATTTTGATTTTCCTGTGTTCTATTTCTACCAATATCTGCAATTTTAACTTTCGATTGATGATTCATCATGCTCATCTACATTTAAGCTTCCATTTAAATCATGGACTGTGGATTTTCATTCACGAGTTATTCTATTGGCTTTCTGAATAAAGAATACTGTGATGATTCATCCCTGATGTCATTATAACAAAATATCTAAATTTTACTTTTGATTCATGTCAGAAATCTCATCAGCTTCTAAGTTTTAGTCGCTGTCTGAGTCGAGTAAGTCTGCTGGATCGTAATTAATTTCAAAATAGTTAGTCTGTAGCATATTTATTTAGAAGTGGATGATGTTACCTTCTTGGTGAGTGTAGAGGGAAGACTGAAATCGTCTTCAGATTCAGTTTACTCTCTTGCGTTTGGGCTTTTGCTTGTCATCTATATTCAAGACTTTACTCTATTATTCAATTACTATAAATTATTAAATTTCGCTAATTCATTATTCTATTCTTATTTCTGAAATATCTCAAATGAGGTGATGCGGGGTTTTGGGGTTTTGGGGAGATCGGAAGAGCGTCGTG